TCTCTGGCTGGATGCTTTGGCGGGGCGCAGCACACAGCCTAGTACCTTAGCGTGAGCAGATGCTCGGCATATGGCTTAAACGCAGGATCGGACAGAATTTGCCAAATTGAATCACTAGACTCGTCCTCAGACCACTGTCCTTTCACCTCCTTGAGCGAGGGAATCAGAGAAGCAATCATCAGATAGTCTGCAAGCGTCTGGTTTGGCTGCTCGTAGGGACATAGTACAAACGACAAGGTAAAAAGACGGCTGGACAATGGGAAATGCTCCTTGTGAAGCTCTGGTAGTAGAGAAAGCATCTGTGTCTCCCCTTCACTGTCTTCTCCGCTGCTCATCTCAAACGTGAAATGGTTCAAAAACGGGAGCCTTTTGATGGCCTCAATAACCTCGCATAGTTCAAGCTCAAATCTACTGATGTCTAGCTCCCTGATAAACTGTGGCTCCGTCAACGAACGGATTGCATTCGTGATTATGCGACTAGGCAATCCATAATGAAACACAGTGCGTATCTTTTGCACCTGTGCCCCAAACTCAAAAGGAAAACGAGCAACACAGCGTGCCAGCTCCTCATCCATTTCAAAAAATGGATATTCGCTGAGTATAACACAGCGGAGCGCTGGATAGTTGTCTGGCACAAGTATGTTATAGGCGATTAGCGCTTTTGCCAAGTTTGAGCTGATCTCAAGACGAAGGTACTCCAGTGTTCCAGCATTACCTCTGAACAAGGCGTCATTATCGAATATGTATTCGCCTTTATATTCGAGGTGGGTAAGCGCAGGAAATGGCGTTCCAGCTGGCGAAGCCAACGTACCAAGGTCGCTATCAAACCCTGCGAGCATTAGCTTCTTGAGACGAGGGTAAATAATAGTTGAGCCATCTGATCCAGTAGCCAGGTTTGCGAAATCAGCAGAGTTCCAGGTTATCAGATTTACGTGCTTCAAAGATGGAGCACTGTGATGCATAATCTCGACCATATCTGAGGATAGTGTTCCTTCAACTAATGCAAGATGCGTAAGGTTGCCCAGATAGCCAAACTCTTGGTTGTAAAGGTAGTTTTCATGCCCATCATAAATGAGTGCGCTTAGATCTGGGCTTGTTAGGTTTGCAATAGTAAAGCCCATGAGGCTGAACCTTTCCCTGGACGATGCGCGATTAGCATGGACATACAACGAGTCTAAGCTGGGAAACAGCTGCTTCACACGCTTGCAAAACCCTAAAGCATTACTCTTCAGCTCCTCTTGTTGAACCTGCTCTTCTGGCTCCCCAGTATCATGGATATTGCACTGCAAGTGAAATGCTGATGGAAACACCGATTCCGCAAAAGATTCTCCTAAAAGTGCTTTTGTCGCTCTGCCTTCCAGTATATGCCCAAGCGGAACATCCAATACGACGTGTCTGACGAAATGCTCTGCTTTAGAGGCAACTATGCTGTCTATACCAAGCACAAAGCGATCGGACCCGGCGATTCTAGCCACATGCTCTCCATTGATTCTGACTTCCATGTGCGACCATAGTAGTTGTAGCGTGACTAAACGCCAATGGGAGCACACCCTAAGTAATGGTCGCAGCTCCGCAAATGAAATATCTTTACTGCAAGAGTAGTCATTTCCTCTGGCCTTTCTAAGCCCAGTGGCGTGATAGATAATCTGCTCGAGTATCTCTGGAAGTAAGCCTTGTGCGGTAGACTGCCCAGTCATGATTACAAGATAAACCCGACTTTATAATAATAATAAATATATAAGGGAAGAAAAACAAAACGAGTAGACCAAGGAAAGGAGAAGATGGCCCAAATAGGTTTTCGCACGAACTGCGGTTCTCTTGTAATGCAGAGACCAAAGACGACTGACAATCATTTCTAAACTTGGGCATCACGATAGTCCAGTAATCATAATCGGAGTAATCACTGCCGCTACCATCTGCAGCAGCAGATTTACATCTGGTTTATTGCTGATTGTTTGGTCTGTGTAAGCAATGCCTTGGCGGCTCCTATAGATAAGCAAGAAATGGCAGCCATGCCATTCTATACCCTTCCGCTATGTGGATTGCATGTTTTTTTTGAACCAAGAGGCCTTTGTATTTGTTTTTTTTAGAGAAGGCAAAAGCAGATAATATACACTCTGTCCTGAAATGTAAATATGCATGTATTTGGCAATTGAGAAAATGAAGGTAAAAGTCGCAAGATGGACAGATCTATGCAATGAGGATGAACAATGAAAAGCTGGAAATGAAAGAGGTTTGTACAGGCAGCGGTCAGCACTCATCTAAGGGTGGAAACATGTGATTTTCTCTAATATGCTCAGCAGCATCTTGTGCTGAGATGAAATGGGATGTACAGTAAGGGCAGCCAAAGCCATGGGAAAGATGGAGAGTGGTAGCAGTGCCAAATGATATATCCCTTGTTTGGGGGTGGGGATGCAGATAGTGATATGTTACAGACATGTGCAAAATGTACAGGAGTGCGTTTGTGCGGCGTGGCTTGTGTGGCTTATGCAGGAATGAGGTTGAATACAGATGCTTTGATGCTGGTCTCGGAGTGGAAGTGCCTTGGGATATTTATACCAGCTATCCCAACAACCTTATCAGCTTCGCACAGCGTCGAAAGCTAATAAAACCGCAACGCATGATTTCTTTCTTTACGGTTCCTCAAGCCCAAAGGCACGAAGGCGGCTTTTCGTGGCGATAACCTGCTGCCAGCCTGTTGCCGATTGTCAAAAATCTATTTATATGCCACTTTTGATTTGTCCTTAAGAACTGAGGATACCAATGAGTTTATTTTAAGAACGGATACCGACGATTAACCGCACTCCTATGGCAAAGGACAGCGCTTGCATGCTTTCCCTCTACTTGAATGCACAGGCACATGCTGCAAGGGCGATACGTCATGTTGCCATGCACTACGCTTCCGTGGCGCGGGCAGTCTATTATTATACCAGCAGGGCAGTCTATGCGTGCACGAAGCTTTGATTTCTCCCATTGGTTTCCTCTGATTTCCACTGCTGCCTTTCCCTAAGCTGCACATGAGTGCTTGCTACGCATAGGCGGTGGCTAGTTCTCCATGGTGAGCAGCGCAGTCCTGTTGAAAACCCAAAAAATATATGAAACAAGGTTTGTCCAAGCAAAAGCAGTGGAGCCAAAAAAGAAGGCTCTGTGTCGTCCCAGGTTCGAACTGGGGACCTCCTGTGTGTGAGACAGGCGCGATAACCGACTACGCCAACGCCACAGCCAAATCCGAAGCTAATCCACGAAAATCGATTAACAAAAATTCTGTAAATGTAGCCAGTCAAATCAAGCAATTTTTGAAGCGAAATTGCGGCGGGCACTTTTCCGCTGTATTTAGCGGCATGTATCAGCATCTGGCACTCGCAACCGCGATGCCAACAGAGCCAGAATCGCAGTCTTCGGCGCTGGTAGACTGCCCAGTCCACACAACCCCAACTCAGCCTAGTGTCTTTTCGGCTGGGACCTAAAAAGTCTAGGTTTAATATATACAAGTACTAGTG